AAAAATATATTATATATCTCAAATTCCAGTTGAAATCTTTCTCTTTTTCCCATAAAAAATGTGAAATATTAAATAAATAAAATTTTTTTTCAAAATTTTTAAATATTATACAATGATATATCTTACCATATCTGAACAAATAGATGCTTATTCTGCTTCTTTCTTTTCGTTCTATTAACTCTACAGCAGCAGAGCGCAAGATTTCTTGGGCCCGGCGCAAGGGAGAAAAGTTTAACACCACCTGTAGCACATCAAGGGAGCAATCAGTGCGGCAGTGCTGCAGGTGCAAATAATAATAATAACAACAACAACAATAATAACAACAATCACCATCATCATCATCATCATTCATTGTTTCGCACATGCTCGACATCATCGTGCCCAGATATTTGTGATCAGAGTACAAAGCCATTTGGCAATGCATACGGCAGCGAGTCATATAGAAGGTGAGAGAAACCACTTAAGCCGCAACTGAGATGACACTATTCATCTATCTATCTATCCCTTTCTATAGCTATGAGACCGCCGATCGCGCCACGTTTGAGGACTCAACGGCCAAGTTCTCAATTAGCCGCAGTCGCACGGATTGCACGGAGGTCAGCGATGAGACCACATCGGGCATATCATTTAAAACGGAACCCTTCGGTCCACCCAGCAGTCCCGAATCCACCAACGATAGCAAAATAACCCGCAATCCAGACGATTGCGCCGGCTGCGGCCGACAAATACAGGTAAGTGAAGCAGACAACGCGAGAGAGAAAGAGAAAGAGAGAGAGAGAGGGAAAGAGAGGGTGTGTGTGTGTGATAGAGATACGTGTGTTTTGCTTGTCGTGAGGATACATTCAGGATATAATTACATATGCCGACGGCAAAGGAGCTGTTAGAAAATCCAATTGGGAAACTGATTGTTTGAGTGTTTGATAGAGGGAGTACTGAATTTCTATGAATAAAAGACATTAGGATAAAATGTTGTAAGTAGAAATAAGCACATATTAGTATGCAAAGTATAGTATAAAGCTATGAGCTATGCTAAAATATTTCCAGTCCTCTATTTTCAATTTGCAGTCATACGAACAAACAACTAGAAGGGCATTGCACAAACCCGATAAAGAGTATATTCCATTCTTTAATAAATATATAAATATAATGGTTTATATACATATAAAAATATATATTCAATCGAAAGTTGAATGTCATTACCCAAAATCATATTTTCATTGCACTGCGTTTACTCAATATATATCTATTTTGTTTTTATTGTTTATTTTTAAGCACTTTTATAGCTCAAACAAAGAACGTGTATATTTTTAAATTAACATATAATTATATTAATTATTATTAAGCATGTGCTAAAAACAAGACAGGTGTTAAAGCCAAGAAAGAAAAGAATGAAATATTAAATGCATAGGAACTATTTTTATTGTGTTAAGAATTTTTCAAAGAAAATCTATTAAAATATTTAGAATATTATATTACGCTATATATATTTATATAAATGATTTTTATGCTTAATTTTACAGGATCGTTTCTACCTCTCCGCTGTGGAAAAACGCTGGCATGCCAGCTGCTTGCAGTGTTATGCATGTCGCCAGCCTCTGGAACGGGAATCCTCATGTTATTCACGTGATGGCAACATTTATTGCAAAAACGATTATTATAGGTAAGCTGCAGACCTTAAATGCAACCAAAAGTGCCAATTCCGTTGATTCTAATGTGAATGCAACTGCAGATCATGCTGCTACTGCTTCTACTGCTGCTACTGCTGCTGCTCTTGGGAAGCATTCATTCACTCACTCACTCAGCCAGTCAGTCTGTCAGAGTCGGGCTTAGGGTCTGCATCAGATAAAAGCAAAAATAAGAGAACCTCCAACTGCATGCCAAGACATTGACTAGAAAATGATTGCCAAACACGCAAATGAAATATTTATATGCATGCATTGTTTTTTTCATTTTTTTTTTTTTTTCTTTTCGCTGTTTGTTTTTTGCACCACTGTGCGAAGGCTAGCCTGGCCTAGCCAGTCAATGCTTGGTGACGGCAATAAGCAGACCGCGACCGCTGCGAAAGACACCACAGTGCCAGTGCTAGTCGCTCCAACAGCGCCCCCACAAAGCCAACACCTCGTCCCTCCCCCTCCACACCTTTCGCTCACTTTGTGTGTGCTCTTCTACTGCTGCTCCGCTCATCCACTGCCGTCGCCTACAACTCTTCACCTCGTCACCTCTTGCTTCAGCTCTCCTACCCGCCGCCTCTACCTCTGCCTCTACCTCAGCTGTAGCTTCAGCTAACTTCCCTCTCTTGAGCTCAGCTCCTCAGCTCTCTTCGGCTCACCTCTCTCCTAGCTTCGCCTGGCTGCATGGACCTGCGTGTGGTTCTGCTGCTTGCCTGCATTCCCATTCCGCGTTCAACGTTTCTCAAGAACGTTCGTTCGCCGCTTCGCTCACGCTAGACACCGCTGCTGCACCGCAATTGCAAGTTGCAACAGTTGCCAGACTATCAAAGCCCAGCGCCTTGGCGGCTGTCTGCGGCTTTTAGAGGTTGACACTCTGCGCTTGGGTGGCTGCAAAGCTAGGAACCTGTTGCTGTTGCTGCTGCAACTGCTGCTGCTGCTGTAACGCGATTTCACGCGCTGCAAGCAACACGCGAGATTAAAACAACAGCGGCAGCAGCATGAACAAAATGAAAACAGGTTATAATTATGCCAAATTTCAAACACACACACACACACACACATATATGGGTCTACGCCTACAATTTGTTGTGGCATGGCAATTAAAGCAATCGGCGCTACTTCTGCCACTGCAGTTCGCTGCTGCAGGTCGCTAGGCAAAGTCAAGTCAAAAGTTTTTCTTCTAGCAACACCTGCTCAGAGTCAATGCGTAAATCAAAAACTTTATCATTCATGCAGTCAGCAGAGGAAGCAGTCGCAGTGGCACTGACAGTGGCTGTAGTGGCGGTGGCTGTAGCTGTGGCTCTGGCTGCGGCTGGGCCTAATGTCAGTGGCAGTCGCAGCAGTGCCATCATTTGAGGCATGCAGCTACATGGCTTGCAACATAAATCGAATGCAAGTCACGCTCGTCACTCGTATTTCCTCTCAAATGATTCTTGTGACATTTATTACCGCTCCATATTTCAAAATACGCAGTCGCGCAGTCGAATGCTGCTGCATGCTGCATGCGCTACATGCTCCATGCTGCATGCTGCATGCTGCATGCTGTCTGCTTCCCCTTGCGCAACCGCTTCGCTTGGCTTGCAAACAAACACACACGCACACACACACACACACACACACATACATACAAACATACACACATACTTGCTCTTTGCCGCCATGTCATGTCATACAATAGCCTCCACAATCCACAATCCATTCCGCCGTAATGTTTCATTTCGTTTCATTCCGCCGGCAATGCAGGCTGCCTTCTGCCTGCCTGCCTGCCATTATCAATCAAATCGAAAGCAAGACCTCGCTCCCTACCCTCCCTCCCTCTCTCACTCTCCACCACTCTCTCGCCATGTCCGCTCTCTCTTCCTCGCTCCAACGACAACGACATTCTTTGTTGATTTATAGAGCTGATGTCAAATATGACAACGCCGACTCGACAAAGTCGTCGCACTGTCTTTTTTTCCCATTTTTTTTCGGAGGGGTCCAAAATTTATGCCCTATGCACCGTTAACTCTATGGGGCAAATGTTGTGGGTGTGCGCGAATCTCTCCCTCACTTCCCCTCTTCTCTTTCTGCCCCTCTCTATCTCCTTTTCTCTTGAAAAATCATCAACGCATCAGCGCAATAAATTCATGTTTTGTTAAACTGAATACGACGCGCTATAATTCATTTCAAAATTATAAAAACATGAAGGCAAAAATTTATATTAATTTCTATAGGGTATGTAGAAAAATGTAACGATCTCTTATAGATCTTTTGATTTTTGTTGTTGTTAAATATGAGAAAGATTTTTAATAAATTAACTAAACATTTGGTTATTTTAAATTTATTAAGACACATTTGTTTTGGGTTAGTATGGGATTAAAAACAAATTTTTCAGATGATAGTGTTTTTCTTTTCCAAATTTTCGCAAATTTTCTTGACATTTTTTGTTTGAAGCCTAATTTATATCAATTAAATATATGTACATAATTTGTATTTATACATATATGAAAAATTTAAATATACACATTAACATTTTTAAAGCTTTTTTCCCATGGCATAAAACTTTAAAAACCTGCTCTAAATATCTATAAATTCAATCCCATATTCAAACATATGTTTCCTCTCTCTACTTTCTACCCTCCACACACACACACACTCTAATCAACTAGAAATACATAAGCACAAAACATCGCTTTAAAGTCCCCTTCAAATTGAATTCAAACATTCTTAAAATCTTGCTTTAATTACCTGGTCAAAGTAGTTTTAAATACACTTAAAAACAGACCACATATTAACTTGACTTTTATTAGTCTTTTCGGCCATTGGCTGAAATGGAAACTCAGTTCAGTTCATAGCCGGCTTATTGACAACAAAAAATATCACGTATACATATTCACACACACACACACACACAAAGAAACATTTTCATAAAACATTTCTATAGAATCTAGCAATCGTATTTGTCTGCTCGTGTTTTGCGGTCAAAGCAGGTCAACAGTAATTATTATTGAAAAATAAGTACATAGACATACATAYATACGTTGCCATACACCCACACACACTGACACGTGTCATATTTGTATGTATTTGTAAAATATATATTTTCAATTAAAAATGTTTTTCATGCTGATAGTCAATGAGGCGACCCCAACAAAGTATTTAATTTAAGTTTGAATAGGTCAAACTTACATATATACAATAATGTATACATACAAATGCGTATGCATATATAAATCGAGATTTGCTTAGCTTTATAATATGCCTTGTTAAATCATATAGAGTTTAGCTCATATTTTATAAAGTTCATTAGGTTATTTCTAATTCAAATTTATGTGCAAGAAATTCAATATTCTTGTTTATTTTATTGCAATTTTCCTATAGATTGGCGGCTTGTTTGTTGATTGGCATTATCTCGAAATTATATATATTTTTTTTTGTGTTTGAATGAAAAATGCCAACAAAATTAGAATATAAAGAAATGTTGAAAAATAATGATTAAATTAATAAGGAAAGCTTTCAAAAATATGGCTAATTAATATATGTAAAAGCTATAAATCGATATAATTAATTAATAGTACTTTTATAGTCCTTGTTTACGATAAAACTTCATATTTGGGAAGTCTAAATATTATAATTTATGATAATAAATGAATAATTTATCCCTCATTTAAATTCTCTGGCGTTTTTTGAATGAATTATGTTTTCTTAGGAACAATCCCGCTTTCCAATAAAAGCTCTATGTAAAAGCCAGTTTTTCCTTTTAAGTCTTAAAATAACTCAGTCGGAATCTCTCTCTCTCTCTCTCTCTCTGTCTCTCCTTATCTTTTCCTATTACTTTCTACCTCCCTCTTCCTTACTCCCTGCCTCTAACTATTTTTCAATCTATATCATCTCACCAATTGATTTAACTTGTTCTTAACTGGGCTTTAACAAATTTGTTTTCTGTGGTCGGCATTTGGCATTTGATGCCAATAAACTAAAAAAAAAACAAAGCATCTAGATAAGCAACAACAACAACAACAGCACCAGAAACACATGTCACACTGGCTGCTGTTCGAGGCGGGTTTTCTAACTGAGCTACAGATACAACAAATATATTAACAAGCATATACACAGATATACATACATAAATACAATCTTTTTTTGTTGTAGCTCTAATCGGACCATCAAAACATATGTTTGCCACTGTTGCGGTGTTAACTATATATGCACACATATATATCAATGTATATACATATAAATATATATCTGTATTTTGGTATATATTTTGTTGGCTGCTCATAATTCCGTTGTTTTTAAGCTTGGCCAGGAAAATAATTGGCTTGTTGTGGCTTACATTGAAGCCGTCGCTTGCCGTTGCCGTTGCTGTTGCTGTTGCTGTTGCACTTAAGCTCTCCTCTCCTCCCTTTTGTAGCTGCTTTCTGCTCTGCACCCTCCCCTCCTGGCAGCTCGTTGACATTTTACAATCAGGCAATGTACCTGTTTCGCTCGCCAATTCTTGTTTTCGCTGCCAGCAGCCAACAGCAGCAGCCACAAATAAGGGGGCAAGAGCTGTAAAAATTGTTGGCTGTCACCTCGTTTTCTGCATATTTTCGTGGCCATCCTGGCAGCGACAACGTCATAAAAGTCCAACTCAACCCAGCTGAACTCGGCTCTTATCTATCATGATGATGTTGCTGTTGATGCCAGAGCGGATAAGCTGCAGGCTGGCAGCCAAGCCAAGTCGAGCAGCCAAGCAGCCGAGCAGCAGCAGCTCCACCACCAACAGTCACAAAACAAGTAAGAGTGCTCTAGTCGGGTCTGAATGACTAGGGAATACCCTAGCAGCATATATACTGATAGAGAAATTCATGAATTCTTCAATATATATAATTCAAGACAAATTACATATCTAGAGTTTTTAGATTCTTCAAGTTCGCTCAAGAAGTCAAAGAAATTAAATGGAAAAGATAATGTTTAAGCAGATAAAGAAATCGTTAGATATAGGAATCGAAAAATCTACAATATTCGA